GGGGGGGGGGGGGGGGGGTGTGAGGTTGAATGGGAGAGGATACTTTGAGTGACTGCGGTGGTGAGGGGATACCCTTGAGGACTCAAGGCCCATTGCTGGAAGAAGTGGCTGTGTGACCCTCCCTTTCTCCTGATTGTCCCCAGTTGCTGCAGCCTAGAGCTTAACACCTGAGCTTTGTCATCACTGAGAGGCCCCATCTAAGAGGCTTGTCTTGGGGCCAAGAGGGCTCTACTTCTGCCTTGAACACAGAGAACATTTACTGTTGCATGTCAGTCTCCTTCCCTCTGAAATTCTTGAGGTAGACAGAAGAAAGTTCTCTGTCCCTATGGAATAGGAGTGGTGGAATCTATGCCATATGTCTTTTATATTGCTCTTTTTATAGAGATACTCCTAAGGAAATGGTAATGTCTACAATCTCTGAATTCCCTGGAAATTCCTAAGATTTTTATTTCAGGCATTTACCTGAGGATCATGAGCTGTATGACAAGTAGCAAAATTCTGTTTGGCAATCTGACAGATCAGATGATATTGCAGAGAAGAAAAGACAGGTTAGGAGGAAGAAGAGGATGCTTGGGGGATGCATAGGGTAGCATTTAAGCATTTGTATTCCGATTGCCTATTATTTTAGTTATTTAGTTCAGCTCTTTAGTAATTATTTACTTTATCTCTTTAGCATTTTAGCTTTTTTCTCTCCCTAAGCATTTTAGTAATTTAGTGTTTGAATTCACATTGTATTCTGGTTCACTATGTTTTAATTTTTTGTCATTTGTTTACCTTTTTTTGTATCCTTACATCCTGTAACTCTTGCTATCTAACTGTACAAAATTTTGGCCAGTAACTGCAATAAGGAGGTTGATTGATAAGTAGTTAGGATAAGAGCAACCTTTCTTTCTCCTTTGGAACCATATTCACAATAACATAACATTTTACAATTACAGTCTTCAGGTTTGCTCTTTATCTTTTCTATTTCAGTGATAAATATTGAAAGACATATGCACATTTACAGCCAATAATATGAACAGATACGATCTTACTTAGCTGAACCTCCATTATACTTGAAAGGACAGTGTTATTTTTAATTATAAGGAGGTTGCTCAACAGTAATAGCAGGAAGTTGGTTAAAGATTCACAGCAGCCTGCAAAAGGATACCATAGTAGGGCCAGCCAATAGGACCACCATCCTTCATAGAATAGTGAATGGCAAGCTCAGAAAGCAAAAGTTGATATCTGCATGAGTGATTAGCAGCAGGATCTGAAAGTAAAATCTGTAACAAGAGATGTGATATTTTCAGGTACTGAAGTGGAATGGTGAGAGAAGGAAATGCCCATCTGGGCTTCATTTATGCTGACAAATTGTACTGTTTTAATATTTTACCTTGGCCACTAAAAATGTACAAGGACAACATAATCATAAGATATCAGCATTGGCAGGGCCCAAATTGCAAGTAAAATATAAAACTGATTATTTCCTGCATTGCATTTATGATTGATGCCTGTTTCTGCACCTCCCTATTTTCTAAGTCACCTAGTGGTAGACCAAACTGACTCCAATGATTGAAGCCCAAAACGTTTTGGGCATTTCATCGCAACATGAGGTGAAAGCTCTCGTGCCTGTTTAATAGTACTTTCAATTACAAGTTAAACAATTTCATTCATTCCAGTGAATTAGTGAAACTGCTGAAATCTTCCTCGTAATATTCTGGGCCACCGCTATGGTCCTCAGCCAGTGGGCAATCCCATCATCAGCACCAGCATACTGAACCTAAGAAGCAGTCTACTGATGGTAAACACAGATGTGTTTGAATTTGGCAGGGTATAAATGATGCAATCAATAAATATATAAATAAGTCAGAAGCATTATAAACAGAATGCAGCAGACTTTCAAACAAAATCTTGGAAATGGAAACAAAAGGTTTTGTCTGCTACCAACAATAGGCAAAACCTGCTTGGCAACCTGATCCTATATTTAGAGGTGATCGCACTATTTTCCAGCAAGGCACAGCTGATCCAAAGATCAGCTAAATTAAAAATTGATTTCTGTTTCACACTTCTGTTCATCTAAGGAACAATCAGAGACTGAAAATCAGAACAGGTACTGGTATCATAGAGACAGACAAATCTATTCATCTGAGTTCATTCACATTCTTATTTTATATTTTATTTATTTATTCATTTATTCATCAAATTTATATGGCTGCCCATCTCATGAAAAAGTTACTCTGGGTGGCATGCAATAAGACTATAAAGCAGTTAACATATAAAAAACCATTATTATTAAAAAAAAATTCAAAAATATATTTTCCTATGTAATTTTTTTGGTACTTTCCCCCTTTATCTATGCATTAAATGTAACTTTACTAGGGGGCACACTTTA